TTCTGAGGTGGCTGTAAGTTCACTTCTCCTCTGGCATATAAAGCAGTCCACTAGCCCTCTCCCTCCCTCCCCCTTACACCTCTGTAGGAGTTCTTTTCAGGGATGGAGGTTAGGACTCTGGGCTAGAGAAGCTATTCCATTGTCTTGCTTTGTGCCTAAGGAAAGGAACCCTGAGAGCCAGACCACACACTTGTTATCCCAGGGACTTGGAGGCTAAGGCAGGAGGATTGCAAGTTCAAGGCCAGCCTGGCCAATTTAGCAAGACCTTAACTCRAAACGAAATACAATAAGAAGGGCTGCAGGTGTAGTTCAGCGGTAGAGTGCTTGCTTGAGGTCCTGGGTTCTAGTTCGAATGCACTTACGCACGGAGTATTAGGAGGAAGGGGACGTTTGCTGTCATGGTTTTAATATTTGTAGGAAGGAAAAGGGAAAATGAAGTTGGGTCTAGTATTCTGAAAGAAAGGGATGATTTCTAGGCYATCCCAAACCAGCTGGAAGCTAAGAGGAAGAGGAGTGCAGAGCTGAAGGTCATGACTCAGAACCAGAGTTCCTGTGCTTGCTTTTCTATGAATTTCAGTTCCTCATATGAAGTCCTGGGGAAAATCGCCTGTGTCCATCCTTGTTGAATGGTACCAGCCTCTATGCTGTGGTCAGTTAGGAGGAGGTGGGAGTCTGTCATCGTCCAACGGCTCCCCAGCCTGAACACACTTCTCCCCACATGTCTCCAAGATCCTATTTTTAAACTGGTCCTGCTAATTTTTGCCTTCTCCCCATTCTTGCTTCCAAACCCCAGGGTTGCCGTGGGGTTGGGTAAGGCACGTAGGCGACTTTCAGGCTCCATCTCTCATTTCCTGAGTGGAGCTGGGCTGCACTAATTGACCTCGAGGGTCTCAGCTGTGCTAAGTTGGGTGTTTGTGAGATCTCGTTAGGCTTGTAATTAGTGCAGGGAATCTAGGTCAGAGGCAGCCATTGGAGTGATGTTCTCCTGGGGCATGAATAAAAGTGGGGAATAGCAAACAGGTTCCTCATTCTGTGGGTGGGATGAACCAGGGACCGTGGAACTCATGTGATACACACCAAGATCATGTGCAGAAATGCACTTAAACTCTGTGTGTGTGTGTGTGTGTGTGTGTGTGTGTGTTCGCTCCTGCTTTTACTCGGGTTTCCTTCCAACCTCTCCATATATGGTGTGGCTCTAGAGCAGGCTGGGGATTGGCTGCTGTTGGGAGACCGGGAGGTAGAAGGATAGCAGAAAAAGAAAGAACCGAGCTCAGGGCCGGAGTGAGAGGGCTGTGTGTGTGTGTGTGTGTGTGTGTGTGTGTGTGTTGGGGGAGGGTGCGGAGCCCAGTTTGAGGGCTGTAGAGTGGGCTGGTCTGCTTGCCTGTGAGGTGCAGACAGGGGAGAGGTTCTTTGGGGCTGGTTTCTGGGGAGAAGGAGGTAAATTTGCTGTTGGCTCCAGGGTTGGGATAGTGGGTGAGGAGGGAGGCAAGAGCTATTTCCCTGGGGTTGGAGTTGAGGCCTAGCGTGGCGTTGGTGAGGGCTGGAGCAGGGGTTGGAGAAACATGTGCCTTTTTCCTTTCTTTCTCCTCTTCTTCTCGTCCTAGACGACCTACAGCTAGGTTGTGGAAACTGCACGCAGATGACCTCATCAGCCTGCCAGGCCGACTCTCAGACACTCTTCCTAATGGAGGAAGAYCAGGACTGTGCTTGTATCCACTCCCCCAACCTCTCCACAGTTTAAGGCAGAGGCCGGGAGAGCAGAGGAAGATGCCACGGAATTAGGAATGAAGCGTTTGGCTCTTGACCGTCTTTATCTATCACGATGTCTCAACTCTGCTCCCTGGATTTTCCCTTCTCCCCATCCTGGGGCCACCCACAGGTGCTCCCCTTCCCAGTTCATTTGGCTAAGAAAAAGCCTACAGCAAAGTTGTTGGGGGAGAGGAAGGGAGGAAAGTCCAGACATCCTGGAAAWGCCCTCTGGCAGCTGTGTCATAGGGAAGCTGCCCCAGGTAGCCACGGAGCCTCTCTTGACTCAATCCACCCATTTACTGCCTAACACAGTTATTTGGAGGAACTAAGAGAAATGTTGCAGGAAAATGGTTTGGAGTGAAGGAGGGAGGGAAGAGAGGTGCTAGGAGGAGGGGAAATCAGAGGAATGCTTCCTGAGCCTRTCACGGTGCCTGAGCTCACACACACAGCCGACATTAACAAAATTGTCTTTATTTGCGGGTGTGGGGGGTTGAACCCAGGGTCTTCCACAGGGTAGGCCAGTGAACCAATGAGCCGAACCCCAGACCAGAAATCTTGCTGGTAGCCCACCACAAAGGCACTCTGTGTTTTTCCAGTGGGAAGCCTGGCTTTGTGCTAAGTCCTGAAGTCCTTGAAGCCTGGGAATAGCRTCCCCCCTCCTTTGCAGCGGGCACACTCTTTCCTTTGAAGAGGTAGGGGCACAGCGGGCACAGCGTGTGGCCTGATCAAGTGTGTAGACGAAAACGAAGTGATAATGGGTTAGTGCACTGACTCTCAACCTGGGTCTAGCCACTGGGACTTCCTGTCCATTGCCCGCTGGGCCCCAGGGATGACAGCAGGCATAGCAGCCACTTACTGACCGACATGCATTTCCCTCCATTGTCCTCACCCAATTAACAGTTCTGCAGTTTGCAGATGAGAAAACTGACACTCGGAAAGCTCGTGTCTTGCCCAGGACCTCATAACTAAAGAGGGACAGAGAACTTGAATCCAGATCCGTCTGGTTTCATGTCCCCAATTTTGTGWTGTGGATATTTTGGCAGTTGCTGGAGAATTGGAAGCTGCCAATTCCGGGGACTGAAAACCCCAGGAACCAGTGCCCAGGTCTCCTCTGACCTTCGTCCTTTGCTTTTGCTCACCTGCCATTCCCTCTGCAGGTCTCCCTTCATTTCCCAGTTCCCCTGGGAACCACAGATGATTGGCATGTTGGGACACACGATGTTATTCTTGCTTTTGTCTTTTTTCTCATTATGTGGGAGTGACAAGGAGGAGAGAAAGGAAAAATGCTGGTAAAATAAAATTAATACAAAAATGGAGACTCATCASGAGAAAATAAAAACTTAACTCAGACTTTCACTATCTGTGGCAATGGGTGACGCTGATGGCCAGGCTTGGAATTTTGGAGAGTGAAGTCTATTTGGAGGACAGGAAACCTGAAGAACTAGGTTCCCTCATCTCATCCCCCAGAAGATGCTGGTRATGACAGTAAGTGCACTTTCCCTGAATCCAACAGAACACCTTTTCCTCCATGAAGAGACGAGATAACTCTCTTCCATGACAGTGAGTGGTGGGGGCCTAAAGAGAGAGCAGGGATCCCTCATCCCTAGACAGTTTAACCTGGAGAGACTCCCTGATCTGATGTGGTCGTAGGAGCAATGTCAACAACAGAAGAAGGGGGCTGGGGATCTCGCTCAGGTGGCAGAGTGCTGGCCTCGTGTGCACCAGGTACTGGGTTCAGTCCCAGCACCRCACACACACACACACACACACACACACACACACAMGGAATTGAATCCTTCTCTTTCTCCAGGATTTTCCTCTCTCCTTCCTGCCCAATTTCCCTGACATCCAACAGGCTCATGACTGGTGTCTATATGTGGGTCGTCCCTATTTCCTCTCCCTTCTCCCCCAGTGAAGCTCTGGGACTTGGCTCTTGGTTGAGAGAAGAGACCTAGGGAAGACCATCGAGAGCAGCTCACCAGGGATGTGTGTGTTTTTAATCCCTTATTCACTCGATCCAGATGCTCTCTGACCCCTTCTTTCCCCAAATCACTCATATCTTGCCTTCACAACTTGCTTCTAGGCCTTAGCACTGTTACTGACAGATCCCAGAAACCTTAGAGAGCTGGGTGGGGTGGTACCTGCCTGAAACCTCAGTGACTCAGGAGGCTAGGGCAGGAAGGTTGCAAGTTTGAGGCTGGCCCTGGCAACTGAGAAAGACCCCGACCCCAAATAAAAAATAAAATAGGGGCTGGGGGTGYACCTCAGTAGTACAGCACTCCTGGCTCAGCCCCTAGTACGGAAAAGGCCAACAGAAAATTTCAGTGAATAGCAGCAAACAAAACGAGTTGTGTGGGACGGACCCCAGAGAAGGCTGTGAGGCAGGCAGGCACCATGGTGGWGGGAGCAGACGTGAGTTTTACAGCTGACCTGGACCTGCTGACTGGTGGGAGCCCCTGAGGAAGGGCAGGGAGTGGCCACAGGAAGCCTCACTTGGCAGAAAGAGGAACCCAGGCCCAGGTTTGGTTTTCCCCTTCTCCTACCCAGCCTGCACTGCAAGTSAGTTTCATTCTTAGTTCAGTTCTTCCACGGGGTCAGCTGTCCCCATKTCCCCCATGTTAGTCACCCCCTAGTCATTTGACCAAACCCGTCGCACCGTCCACAGGTGTATCTTTGACTCCATGCTTGGCAGGGCTGGGGAGATGGAGACAGCACCTCCTAGCAGCTCAGTCTGGCTTCATGATCTCCTGGGGTTGAACCCGGGTCCTCACTCCACCACGGAGCCCCAGCCCCAGCCCCACGTAGTTCACTCTCCACCAGAGACTCACTACTATGGGTGAGGAGCCAGTGGTGGGCAGGGAGATTTAAATGCCACATGTCCTCCTCAGGGCTGGGGTAAATTTCACTTCTCCTGTGGCATGGACAGGTGGCACTGTCCTCCACATTCCTGGAACTCAAGTTGGGCAGCTGAAATTTCACCCTCGGAGAGAACCTGGAATGGGACATACGAGAAACCCCTCTTCCGCGRCTCCCTCTGAACCCGGAAGGCTGTGCGTGTGCCCGACACCTCCCCACTGCTGGGGGGTGGGGGTGTAAGAGGAGCACACTGTGTCCTCCCGGGTGCAGGGAAGCTCCTTATTACCGTTACAAGGGCCAAGTAGGGGGGAGTGGAGTGAGGAAAGTGGGTAGGGGGACAAAGGCTGAGGGGGTCAGGCACCAGCAAGAGCAGTGAGTTCAATAGTGGTTTTTTTTTTTTTTTTTTTGACTGAGGTAAATAAAAAACTTTCATCCTGCCACACTTGGAGATAAGAATCTATAAGCCCCCCACCAAGTTCCTGTCCTTCACATCAGGCTCTTCCGATACTGACTGTGCTGGGAGGTCTGTCTGGGGTGGGAGTCGGGGCTCTGCAGGTCCATCTGTCTGTACAGGTCCCTCAACTCGCTGACTTCCTGCAGCACCCTCTTGGCCTGGCTCCAGTTCGAGGACGCCTCTCCCAGCAGCCGCTCGGTCTCCAGCAGCAGCTGCTCAGACTCCGAGCCGGGTGGAGACTGTGGGGGGTCCTTGGCCTTGCGTCTGCCGTCTCCCAGCCCCTGAACTTCTGCCAGCAGCTCCTGTGTCTTCTCGAGCTTCCTGGCCACCAGGTCCTGGATCCGGGACAGCTGGCCCGGGTGGGCTGGGCTGGGGGCTGGAGATTCCCGCAGCGGGAGGGTGCGGGCTGGGGCAGGGTCCCGCTGAGACAGGATTTCCTCCAAGGAGGCACAGCGGCCTTTCTCTGAGGGGGTCAACTTCTTGGGTGCCTGGGGGGTGTAGGTGGCCCCCTTGTCTGGCTTTTCCCAAGGTCGAGCRAGGCTGGTGGCCCGGTCTGAGGAAGACTGGATCCGGTCCGAGTCTGCTCTCCGCCGACTCCCCGCCAGCTGGGCCACAGACTTGTCCAGGTCCACCCGAAAGCTCTCGGCACAAGAGGCTGGCTCCTCAGGAGAGGGGTCTTCCTCTTGGATCAGGTCCAAGGTCAGCATCCCATCTGAGGTAGAGGTGGACGCCTGGGGAGAAGGTGTGGGAATCAGGTCATCAGGAGGGACCTCAGCAGTGACGTCTGAAAGACAGACGCAAGCTGCTGCCGTCCCCTTCTCCCGGTGCCTTCTCTGGGYGACCTCTCCGCCCTAGGCGAGCCCTTCTACCTAACTTGCCTTTTCTTAATTCCTTGGATGGAGATTCGAACTTTTTATCTTTCTGCGACTTCATTTCTCCTGCTTGTTACCCAGATTCTCCCCTGAGCTACAAGCTTCCCGAGGGGTGTCTACTTCCTCTACCGGAGGCTCCAAGCACAGTACTGGGCTTGGCACACACGGGATGCTCCACTTGGCACAGTCCTTTTCTACCTGCGTCCTTTGAGCCACACCTCAGCCACCAGGCTACCTTCCAGCCAACCAACGGGGTCTGGATACATTCCCAAGGCAGGTCTTGACTTTGCAACTCTCCTACCTCAGCCCCCAAGTCACTGGGATTACAGGCGTGCACCACAGGCCCAGCCAAACCGTGTTCTTTGTTCCAGAATACAGTGGTTTTTAAAAAGTGGTAAGGATMTTCAACGGCCCCATTTTACAGATACGCAGTTCCAAGGAACCACACAGTTAACTACAAAGTTGTGTTCTGCCCGACTCCAAAGTCTACATTCATGCTACTACTTCCTAGAAACTTAGAGCTCAGATCCATGAAAGAAACCACTGACTGTATGGTCCAGGGGTTTGCTGTGATCCTTCCTCCTCTGGAGGCATGTAGTTCTTTTGTATTTTGGGGAGGGGGGCATGCCAGGGATTGAACCCAGTGCCTTGTGCTTGCAAGGCAAGAGCTATATCCTCAGCCCCCACGCAGATCTTAACATGGTCATTCATCAAGACAGCTACCCACCACACAGAAGTTTACGTCATCTTGTATGGTATTCATCTTCTCTATTTTTAATTTTCCTGGGTGGTACATCTCATTTCCCCCCAAAGACAATGAAATTACTGAGAGCAGAGACGTCTTAGCTCTTGGTAGGTGTAAGGGGAGAATCTGGGAAACAAGCAGGAGAMATTAAGTCACAGAAAGATAAAAAGTTCAAATCACCATCCAAGGAATTAAGAAATAGCAAGTTAAGTAGAAGGGCTCGCCGAGGGCGGAGAGGTCTCCTTCAGAGAAGGCACCGGAGAAGGAAATGGCAGCAGCTTGCATCTGTCTTTCAGGATGTTATTGCAGAATAAATATTTCTGATTCAGAGGAATCAGGAAGAATGCGGGGTATTGATCTTGTTATCAAGGTCTTCCTCAAATGCCGGTGGTGGTAGACAGTTCTGTCCGGGACAGACTGACCCCGAATTAGCCCTTYGACAATGTTTACTTCTTTAGGCTTACGTACCACAGCCATGAGGTGTCCCCGAGTTGGGGGGCGGCGGGAGTGCTGGATTTTCGCTCTGTCYCGAGTGGGGTGGGCGAGATAGCTATCCTCTTCAACAGTGACCTGAAGAGAAGTACTGTCATCGGTGTTCTTGGGACTGTTTGTCCCACCCAGCATCCCCCAAGTCCCGAGGGTGGTTGGACTGGGAAATACGCGCACCCCATAAACCACTTTTGAGCAATCACAGGCAAAGAGATTTACTGGATGTGAGGGCGTTCCCCCACATCGGCTCGGGCATCGTGATGCTGGGGAAGAGGAGTTGGCAGAGCAGACTTGGAAGGTAAAGGAGAACAAGGATTTCAAGAGGGAGAGAGAAAAGAAGGGCTGGTGGGGGAGCAGGTGAGTAGGGCCCCGAATGATAATCCTCCCTGTGTCCCAGCATCCTTCTCCCCACAGTGAGCCCCTGACCTCATCCAAGACGCGGTTCTTGGCTCTGGTGATGGCGGAGTTGAGGGCGTTGATCCAGGACTCCTTTTCCTCTGGACTCACGGCCAGGAAGATCAGGTTGGGTGCCTGTGAGGGGAGAGTCTCGTTTCAGCCTGGGTGTTAGAGTTGGCGCCTCACCTCGACAGTGAAGAAACAGGAAATCATAATCGCATTCTCTGGGATCCAGCTCCTGCTTCCAGAGTCATCCCTGACTCCAGGAAACCCAGCTCCTGCCCCTGCCAGTCACCACGGCTTGGACTCTGTTTTAGAAACCACTAAGGGGGAGTTAAGCAGGCAGGTGGCTCTGGAGAGACTTAGAGGAGGTTTGATAAAGGACAGATATTTGAGATCTTTCTATGTCTGAGGAAGTAGATGGTGACAGAAATGGCTTCCCTGGTTTCCTTAGATCAGGGGAATGAGAGTCAGAACCCTGATCGCCTTCCAGGGCACAGAGACCGGTGACTTCCTCCCAGGGGATGTGTGTATGGAGGTGTGYGCGAGGGTCAGAGTAGGGGAGAGGCAAGGGGGCTGCTGGGGACGCAGGTAAAGGGACTTTGTGGCTGAACAGGTTAAAGGCCTGGAGAGAAGGAAATGGCCACAATATTCTCTGGTTAAATAATAAAAGCCAGCAGGAGAGCAGCTCGGGACCTCGGAGCCAGGACTGCAGAGAAGGAGAATCTGAAGGGGGAGGTCTTCCTTCTGCCCCTCCCAGCCCCTCCAGTGCCCTGGTGTCCAGGACGCGGAGGTACCTACTGTGTTGCCAGGTTGTTTGGAGTGCGCAAGAGTAAACTTGCTATGATTTTTCTTGCTCCTGCTCTTGGATTTCCGGAGCTCTTCACACTTCTCATAGTCACTCAGGTCAAACACCTCTTGAATATTTTTCTCATCTTTGACCTGGGGGAGAAACCCAAGGGGGGGTGAGGAGGATAAAAATACTTAGCCCCTCCCCCCAAATTTCAGTGTAGGTAGGCCTTGGGGACCTGACCGCGCCTGAGGAGAGGGGAGGACCACGGGACAGGGCCACCCGACCCGGGCCACACAGAGGCTCTACATCACAGGGGTCCCGACGGGCGGCCTCCGAGATTTYTCTTTAAACCACCGACCCTACTCTCCTCTACTCTCCTCAGCTGAGCTACCGCCTCCAGAGCCTCTCCTCACCATGAATCCACTSAAGGACGCAGAAAAGGCTCAAGCCCTTAAAGGGACATGATGAGTAGGCCGATCTGATCGTTCCCAAGTAAGGAAGACYTGGTGGTCCTCAGCGGTTCAGCGGAGGGAGCTGTTTTTCCACCCCCAGCGAATTCTCAAAACAGCCCTAGTATCAGGATGTCTGCAGGGAATGAGGGGCTGCCCCTGGCCTCTCAAGTTTACACGGTGGCCTTCTTGTCCCCAACCTGCTCTCCTCTAACATAGACGACTACGAAGAGACTCATCCAGACTGGGCAGCCTGTCTACCCTCTTCTGCTCAGTTAGGAACACCCCAGAATGGCCATGTTTCCTAGGATGAAAAGGACAGACCACCAGAACTTGTTCTGTTAAAATTAAGCAAACATGTTAAAAAACACAAGCAGCCTCAGTTCTTCCCTGGAAGACATAGACCTCCCTGCCTGGAACTGGTTCACAAAGGAGCCCCGCTTCCCAAATTCTGGCATGATGTTGTGGGACTACATGGTGGTGGAGTGGGTCTGTCCATCCTTCTCCATGGTCCTGGACCAGGGGGTGATGATGGTGAGGACAGATGATCACACAGCTCCCTTCGTTTGGACAAGGCTTGGCTCCTCCAGGGCTACCCCTTCCCAGCCATCCCTGGCTTTGGGCTGGAAGTGACCAGAAGCCTTGAAGGGTTCTGGGTGGAGGTGAGACAAGGTGTTGCCAGGGGCATCCAAGAACAATTCCCAGAAACACGGGGCCAGGATGCAGGATGACGCATCCTCCTCCTCTCCCTCCTCCCCAGAGTCAGACTATCAGCAGAAGCCAGAAACCTTGGAGAGGAAAGCGCTGGGTGTGTGTATGCAGCCAGGGGAAGAGAGTAACTTGTTCTGTTTTCCTTAGGGAGAGGGAAGGGCAAGGAGTTCTGGCTGGGACACAAGCTGATACGGAGCTCGGGGAACAGGAGACATTGACAGAGGTTAGCCACTGTAGGGCAGGGGTAGGAGCCGAGGWTAGACAAGCGGTAGAACAAGTATATTCTAATGCCCAGAAAAGATGGACACTCCTGGGAGCCTTGTTCTCCACTGTGTTCTGTTTTTTCCCCCCAGCTAATTCTCAAGATCTCATTTATATTTACTCATCTTCCAAATTAACATTTCCTTTCCTCTGATTCTTCACCCACTGCCCATAAGAAGGAATTTTTCACRTTTGCTAAGAATTGTCTAGAACCTAACTTCCTCTACCATGAGCTTTCCAGCTCAGAGGATGCCCCAGCCCTGAGAAAGGGCACCCTTGGAAAATGAGGAAAATGATCCACAACAAACACAGAAGGAGTTCTATGGTGGAAGTAATTGTTGGAGACCCTGCCTTTTTAGGAGGAAAGAACAAAAAAATGATTGCTGTAAACTCTGGGAAAGAGGGTTAGGAATTTTTTTTTTGTATTAAAACAAATTATAAATATACTATGCTTTTTTGTTGTTGTTTAAATCTTGAATCTGTTGGTTCTGGAGCTTTTGGGAAGTGAACAGAATAAAACTTGGATTCCTCGGTCAATTTCACATTTAACTCAGGCCCACAGTAGCAGGCAAACAGGCTCTCAAGAAAAGTAACATCAATATGCTGTTCCCTCTTTTGCTATACCCTTCCCCACAGGGGGTCAGTTGGCCTCAGGACTGATCAGATGCTCCTGACTCATAGGACACCATGCTGAGATCATTCCATCCTTTCCCTGGCTCTGTATCCCATTCTCCACACACAAGGCTCAACCATGTTCCTTCAACCCAAACTCTGCTGTGTGGATAAATAAACAAGAAAAAAAATGACTTGTTTCTCCTACCCTTTCACTGTTCTCTAGTTCCCCCTTTGACGTGTAGGAAGTTCTCTCGGTTGCTCACTAGAGTTTCCTGCTATTATCAAGTTCGGGAAAGACAGGAGAGACACTTTGACTCTTTGTCTCTCTTTCTTTCTTTCTAAACTGGAAAGCCAGAAAATTGTGGAAAAAAACTTTCTGTAGGATTTGTGATTGGCAGAGGTGACCCTTAAAAATAAATCCTCCTGTCAAAGTCTTCCCTTACCTCCCCCCTAAGACTCTCTGCCAGCAAGTTCCCAAGAGTGAGTAGCTAGGTTCAGACTGTCTTCCGCCCTGGCGTGGCTTTGCCTTTCCCTATTGCCTCAGTAGATACCGTTTCCAGATGAGTACTTTCTCYGGGCTGAACATGTGTCTGTTTCAATACCATAAAAGGATTTATTTACCTACATATAATCTACTGAATAAAAGTGCCTACTGCCAAAAGCAGAAGAGGTTAGACTCACAGAGGGCTTCCCGGCTAGCCTGGGGTGAGGAATCCTAAGGGGAGTACAGGTCATAGTCACAGAATAGCAATTCCAGTTTTCCAGTATGATACCGTGGTATCCATCCCAAGCATTGGGGACAAAAGGGAGAAGAGCTTGGAKCTAATGATCTGGATGCAGGTTCTGACCAAATGTGGCCTATGTTTTCATGTTGAACTACACAGCTAAAACCATGCAGAGACATACAGGGATTCACGCCTCCATACAAATAGGGGTAGGCRGGAAGGGGGCAGGACAAGAGTTAAATGCCCCCTCTTTTTTAACTGGAGTGGTGAGCTACACCAAGCAYACCGGTTAGGAACAGTGACTTCTACCAACGTAACTATCTGGCACTCACAGATCCACTACTGGAGTCAAAAGATAGCGGCCCTGGCTCGTGTCTTTTCTATGATTCAGGACGGCTGTGCTACTGATAGCCCCACTGCAGACAGGAAAGGAGGCCGGGTCTGGGTGGCGGCCGGACAGGGGGGAGCTGAACACCGTGTTCCAGCAACAATAGCAAAGGAGGACAATAGTCCACATTTCAGGAGGCAGGACAGGTGGGAGGCACAGCAGGGGACGCTGAGAACTTAGGGGGCAATCGCTGCTGTCAGAGAGGTATTTGCAAAGAGAAAAACACTTAGACGAAGCAACTCAACTTCTAATTCCTACTCGGGTCTTCTCGCTCAGGGGTGACCTTTCTCAGCAGATGGGGACTAATGCCACCACTGTTTTGCCGAGACCCCGTGGGCAGGGGAAGCCGAGGGAGCAGGGCCAAGTTAGAGGCAAAGGGCACCTACCTCCTTCTCAGAGATGAAGAGCTGGTCCCCTTTCAGCACCACGTAGCGGTTCTTCCAAATCTCCCTGAAAATCCCTTTCCCGCAGAATTTCCGGACCCAGCCGACCTTCTCGGGCGGTGCAGACGGATGGTTCCCMTCCTGAGGCCCCTGTCCCAGGGACAAGATCAGGACCAGACCCTGAGGGGACCCGGCCCGCTCGTCTCTAAGCCTGGAAGCCCAGGTCCGCCGCCCCCGGGGCCAGGTCTTGGCTCCGAGCGACTCCCCGTCCCCCAGACCCCGAAACTGCGGGCGGAGGGGGGCGGCCTCCGCGGGCCCCGACCGCCGGCCTCGCGCGCTCCGGCCTCCGGGCAGCCCGGGGCTAGCGGCGCCTCCTTCTCTTTCTCATTGTCTTACGGCCCCGCGGAGCCGAGCCCGCGGCGGCCAGGGCCGGGGAGGAGCCGGCGCGGGTCGGCGGAAACTCAGCCAAGTTCGGCCCCCGACGCGGGTCCACAGACAAAGCCCCGCCGCCGGGCGCCCCGGGCCGGGCGCGGGGCCGGGCGCGGGCGCGGGCGCGGCCCGGCGGGCGGGGGGCTCGCGCAGGCCGCCCCTCCCGGCCCAGCCCGCCGCCCCGACGCCGGGTGGGCGCGCACTCACCCTCTTGGAGGAATTGTTCTTCTTCATCATCCCGAGGGCGCGGGCGCGGGCCGAGTGCGCCCCGCGAGGGGGTCGGGGCGGCTCGCAGGGGCGCCTGCCCAGCGGGAGGCTGGCGGCGAGGTCCCGGCGCCGCCGCTCCGCCCCCGCGCCCGCGCCCGCCCCCGGCCCTGCCTTTGTCGCTCCGGTTACACGGAAGGCCGGCCTCCCTCGCACTCGCCCTCGCGCACGCCCGCGCCCGCCCCCCGGCGCCCCGCCGCCCACCCGCGCCGCCCGACGCGCAGGGGCCGGCCCAGCCCGCGCCCCGCGGCTCCATCCGCGGCCGCTGACGTTGCGGGCTCCGAAGGCCGGGAAGCGCGGGGCCGCGGCGAGTGCGCTCCCGCCTTTGTTTCTGGCTCCGGAGGGCGAGGGAGCCGGCCGGGACCCCGCCGGGACCCCGCCTCGACGCCCCGGCCAGGGGGGCGCCTCCAGGACCGCCGCCCGGCCGCCGGGGCTCCGTCGCGCGGGCCGAGGGGACCCCGGAGACGCACGGGCTGGGAGACGGAGATCCCCGAGACCGACTCCACCGCCCTCCCGAGCCCAAGACCAAAACGGAGAGCCCCTCCCGGGCCCAGAGTGACCGSGCAGGTCAGGTGTCGGGGAAAAGTTTCGTGCCTCCAAGGGGCCGAGCTGGCAGGGGCACGAGGGGGCTGCGGACTCCCCAGTGACAGAGCCTCGGGCCTCTGGGGTTGCAGAGTAGCCCCAAACTGGAGGTGGGTCTCTGAGCTCCAGACGCAGCGGCCCAAGTGCTGGCCAGAGAGCCCTGTCCCCAAAGCCATGATCCGTTATACCAGGGGACTTGGAAGGTGACTCTAGGTGGGGCGCAGGCTTCCTGGGGGTCTGTCCCCCTGCCCCGCTCTGTAGCCCCAGATCCTGTCTACACTGGAGTCCAGGCCAGGGAAGGGCCCAGGGCCCAGAGGATGCTCTGACGAGGGGAACCTCTGCTGCCCCTCTTGCCCGGTCTGCCTCAGAGCGTGCAGGACACACCTTGGCAACTTCCCGTCTTTCAGTTCGTGTAGACGGGAGGCGGGTGGTCGGAAAGCCGCGGTGACCACTGGCTTCATCACAACTCTGTGGCCTTTATCCAGTCACTGCATTTCTTTGAGCCTCTGGTCCTCAACATATTCAATGGTGAGGGATGGACTGCCACTTCCATCATCAAGGAAAGAGGAGTCTAGGAGATGACCTGGGAAAGTCCTTCGAAAATAGGAGTATTGTTCTCTGGGCTCATCACGAGATGACAGTAAGCTAATAAACACATTGCCTGGCATATGGGAGGCACACAATAACCACAAAATGAATTAAATATCCCTGGCACGGAAGAGTAGGAAAAAAGCAAAAATTCTTTTTCCGGAGATGTCTCAAGATAAAACGTTGGCTAAATTTGTGGATTGAGGGGCTGAGGACGTTTTTTATTTTTCTGGTATCTGTCACATTTAAGGGGGATGCCATTTCTGTTCACAGACCCGCCTTTCCTCCTAACCCAGTGATACTCCTCTCAATAATAACCATCCTAACTCGTTCCTTTATTTTAGCCGGATACAGAACTTGATCCTTTAAAAATACTCATCATTTCATTAAATCTTTAGTGCCACCTTGTGAGGCATATAGAAAAGTATTAGCATCCCCACTTGGGAAATGAGGAGATGGCATGGCAAATCTACTGACTTGCCCAAATTTACACGTTACTGGCTAAATGGATTTGAATCCAGGCTTTCTGTCTCTAGTCACCTATTCAGATTTTGTGCACGCACCCCCCCCCCCAACATATTTCTCAAACCATCTTCTCCTTCCTACTGTCTCTATTTCCCATCTGGTTTAAAAAGTGATGGAAAAAAAAGAATTTAAAAAATCCTGGCTACATGAGTAAGAGGAAGCAAAATGTACCAATATTAGGACAGTGGTGAAGAAACCAGCCTGCATGATTTTTTGAGGGCTTCTTAGCCAGGCAGGTTGGAATGGTTTGGATTAGTAGTTTAAATAGGGGTTGGGGGTGTGGCTCAGTGGTAGAATGCTTGCCTAGCATGCACAAAGCCCCCCGGTTTTATTCATCTCCAGCACTTGGAGGAAAAAAAAAAAAGTAAAGTTCAAGCAGATTCTGGCTTATGAGAAAGAAAGAATCAATGACTTGCCCTATCTTCCTCCCTTCACAGTAGCTCTTTAAGTCAACAGATACCTGAGTCCCTTCTAAAGGCAGGGTACAGGGCTTCTTGTCACTGTATCACATAGGAGCTACAGCTTTGTGAAACATCAGGCCGAGGGACCCATAAAAAGTAACCCTCCAAAGTAATTTTCAGATTTTAGAGCAGATGCATGTGGGCTGCAGAACCTTCTCTGCCTGTCTGCTCCTTAAGATGTTAYATAAATCTCTGGCTGGCGCTCTCTCTCCCTCTCTCTCATTAACCTGAACTGTTGTACTGTTTCTTCCAATCACTCTGCCCTTAGGATCCCTCACACTCTCTCCCTTTCTCACRGCAGCCACCCCTCTTTCCACATGCCACACTCTTCCCCTGACCTGTTCTTAAAGCTGATTTCTCTTTTACCAGGTGAACCTCATAGCACCTGATTTTAGATCTATGGGAGACTGTTTTCCAAAAGCTTAAGAAGTTGGAATAAGCACTCTTGGGTTTCTTTACACATTTTTATAGCACTGTCTCTTCAATGAACTTGACACTACCATATACACAAACTACAAAAATAATGCTCAAGCCAATTTTTATCTCGTCTTTGGTGAAGATGAGATACTGGGAGGACTTATGATGGGGTTACCTCCCTAATTATGTCCAATCTTAAGATATCAGTGCCAGTAATTATTCAATTGAATATTTTATAAGTAATTCCACTTATGGGAAAACGAAGACTACCAGAGGTAAAAACTTGTGATTTGCTGCCTGCAAATTTACTGAGCAAAAACTGTTAACCAAACAGTTGTTTAAAAACAAATATCTTTGGGGCTGGGGATGTGGCTCAAGCGGTAGCGCACTCGCCTGGCATGCGTGCGRCCCGGTTCGACCCTCAGCACCACATACAAACAAAGATGTTGTGTCCGCTGAAAACTTAAAGATAAATATTAAAATTCTCTCTCTCTCTCTAAAAAAAAAAAAAATCCTTTGGCTTTTGTAAATGGGACACAGGTTTTGACTAGGGGCATAAAATGTGCAAAGACTGTTAAAAAAAAAAGCATAAAAGACCTTAATCAAAATGATGTTTTTAAAAGGGAAAATTAAGGACCAGAAATAAGGGATTCAGTTCTGTAAATGATATAAAAATGAGTCATTGTTACCAAAGAAATGCCATTTTTTTTGAAGTGCTGTTAAAAAAAACTCCTTGTGGGTAGTGTTCATTTCTAAGATTTCTAGATATTGTTAGATGAACCGCCACAATGGAAGCAAGCAAATAATGAAGAGAATGATATAAGAAGTCTGTTTTTTTTTTTTTTTTAATTCCAGAGTTATTTTGTCAAGAGGAAGGTAAGCACAGGTACTTCTACTTGAAGGAGGGAATTCTCCACTTTTTTTTGAAGACTATATAACTTGTAGAATGCTGCATTTAACATACTGCCTCCCCAAGTGCAAAGTGTCTTGAAAACTTACAAAAACTGAAGAATTTTTAAAAAAATTATCTAAAAAACCCTTTGATCTTAGGTGTACTGTGAACAGAATCCTGATGGCTTCCCATGAGTGAATGTAAGGAAACAACGCTGAGAGTTGAGGAGTGGAGAAAATGGGGAGGGACCCATCTTTCAGCTTTTCCGTTTCTTTCCCTGCACTGGAAGCATCCGCAGGAATCCAGTTACTTTGCATAGTAATCCTGTATTCCCCAACTTAGAGAAAGGAATCCATTTTATTTACCTTTATCAGAGCAGGCAATGTTCTAAGTACTTCACAGGTATTATCTCATTTAACCCTTAACAATCCTGGGAGGAAGGTACCAGTATTGCCCCCCTACTATAAAGAGGAAACTGAGCCACAGAAGACAAAGGGGAGGTTGAACTGTGGTGTTTTTGCTATGATGATCTGAGAATGCCTTGACTTCCTGGCATCATTGATGCCATCTCTTTCTTCTGCTTTCCAGAGAGGCAAATTGATACCAGGATAATTCTTGCTTTGGTGTACTTTAAATGTCCTTGGGTAGAGGCAATGCCTGCGTGGTTTGGTATAAAGTCATCTCAAGGGCTGGGCTGTGGCTCAGTGGTATACTCTCCTAGCATGTGTGAGGCACTGGGTTCCATCCTCAGCACCACATAAAAATAAAAAAAAMAAACTAAAAAATGTTTAAAAGAAAAAAGTCATCTCAAGCCTCACTTTATGAATTTCCACAAAGGAAGCCTAAAGAAATAAAACGAAATCACTCGTAYCATTTCACAAAATGAATTTTTTATTGTGGTCATACATGGTTTCTCAGTGCCACAGAAAGTTCCAGGGTAGGGACAATTTTTGGATGGCTCTCTAAAGACACACGGTAAGTTCTCAGAACTGAGGTGTGCAGGCATGTGGTTAACAGAAAGAAAAAAAGGGTCAAGGGAAGAGAGGAAATCGAGGAAGGTGGCATGTACMTACATGATTACTTTTAAACCCCCTGGGCTCTGATAACTCTTTTCCCAGTAAGATCCCAACAAAATCCACCATAAACTGAAGTGATTGTACTATCAAATACACAAGGAATACATTTACTCGATAAAGAAACCACAAGAAAAGTAGGTTGGGAAGGGTTCAGACTTATTCTCAGCGAGCGCATCTCTGGGAGTCTGGGTGTCTGTGCTAGCAGTTCAGGAACCACAGGTACCAGGARGTGAATTCTAACCAGAGCACGAGACCCTCTCCCAGCCCTCGGGTCAGTGGGAGGCTGTGGGGGGCCAGGGGGAAGCTGTGCCGTTCTCCACCTTCTCCACCATCATCTCATCTCCTGCTGGCTGGCCTGGAAGGGACTTGAGAGCTCTCCTTGCTCCGGCTGTGCAGTCCAGAAGCCAGAATTTCCTCTAGGAAGCTGACAAGAAGACTTGAGGTTACTTAAAGGAAAAGCAAAAGTATCCTCAAAAATAGAATATCTTGCTCATGACACTGAACTACAGAGATACGAATAGGATG